AGCAGCAAGAAGTTAATAACTGGTTCTCTGTGTTCCAAGCATAATATTGCAACTTTTTGAACCATAAATATCAGAATGAATCGTCTTCCCAGAGAATGAACAGAAGCTTTGTGTTTATAAGTCTGAATTTGTGATTGGTTATAACTCAGACTTAAAACATGGCTTCTCTGACTTGTGGAAAAGTTTCCTTTTTTTTTAAGAAAGACAGCCAGGGTAGTAACCTAAAAATAGTGCGTGGGCCTGTGAGAGCTGGCCTGTGGCGTTAGAGCACATGCTGTTCAGCTGAATGGCTTTGGTCCTGGGTGGTCAGGGAGGTCAGCCTGTCCCTGCCATGTTGGCTGGATGTGTGAAGTCACTGGAATCATTGTTTCCCCAGATTGGCGTTTTGACACCACTGACAGGACATTAAGTCAGAAAGAGCCTCCTTCCTCAGTCCCTCCTCAGTGTTGACACGAGAAAGACCAGAGTAGTTTTTGTGAACTTAGCTCTGGAATGTGAAGCACTCTCCAGGGAGTTTACAGTGGTTGAGTTGTGTGTCAGCAGTTGTCGGTGGGGACTTGGATAGACTCCGGCCTTTAGCCCACAGGTTCCCGTCCTCAGGGAACACCAGACAGAGCACAGCCAAGTGCAGGCTCACAGGGTCAGCTCTGCTGCTTTGCCTTTGTGTGTAGATAACTTGCTTTTTGCACGTAACACGGCTGGGTCAAGTTTGGGAAGCTGTTCATCAATTAGGATGTCAATTTCATATTCCTGTTAGCTTTTGCATTCCAGTGATTTCCTACTCACAATAACTTAAAGGCACATATATTCCTAATCTTCAGTTTCCACTTGTACATTTAAGACAAATATTGCAAGTAGCATTACATGTTTATGCTGGTGGATATGTTGGACTACATCCAAGAATTAGGAAGACAGAGGACTTATGTAGGTCTAGTGACCTCCAGTGTCAGAAATTGTAATGACATCTCATCACCGCTAGAAGCAGTGGTACTTTATTGTTTAGGTGCCATTGCTAAATAGCGTATAATGAAGGAGACAATTGGAAGAGAGTGACTGCAAGGTAGAGCCAGTGTCCTTTCCTCTCTTTTTGGACAGTACTCAGCATCCCTTGCTCACTAGGCAGTTGTTCACCACTGAGCTCTGCTGCCCCTGTCTGTAGCTGGGTGTTTGGGGATTAAGGTCTTATTTCCTGCCCGGCATGTCCCTGTGGCCTGCTTTTCTGAGGCTTTCTGTTGCCCACAACAATAGCGCATTACTGTGTCTAGTTTTCCTCCGTGGAGAGGGGGCACTGACCTGCCTGCCTGCCTCCTGCCCGACCTCCTGCCTGCGGTCTTCCGTTCTCAGCCTCTGAAATAGCTAGGATTACAGGTGCAAGCCACTGGCTCATGGCTGTGTGTCCCCATCCCCCCTCTGGCCTTCCCCCGACCTTGCCCCATTTGATTTTACTATTGAGTGTGGCTGGTGCTTTTTCTTACTAGGAACAGGGGCAAATGCTTTTAAATGGCTGATGAGCATGGCTACCAGATGGTGGTGTTTTGTGGGTAGGAATGAGCCATTCCCATTGGGGACCATAGGTATAGCCAATTGGGGTGTGGTATAAGGTGGTTGGCCTAAAACTTCGTAGAAAGTGTGCAAAGCTTGTCTTCCTTGTTGCTGATGGCTCTCCTTTTAAGATCCTGATGTTTTCTGACTTCACCCATTGCTACGGGAGTTTCGGCTGTGTCCTTTGGAATGTGCACACTCAGCTCAGGAGTTGGCACTAAGGACCACGTGTAGCCTTACCTTGCTCTTCGGTGCAGAGCTTGACTCATGACAGAAAGGAGACAGGTGCTGTGCAGAATGAGAATTCGCATATGCTAACTCAGACTTCGCTAGAAAAACCCATGGCAGAAGTTTTTATTTTCAAACTACCAGGTCCCCAACAGCAGTAAAGTAAGATTCAAAGGTGTGTCTCCCCCCGCCCCCCCCCCCCTTTCCCCGCCTTTCCCCATGATGGGAAAGTTGGCTGGGGAGTTTTGTATATTTAGTTGGTACAGCATGGCAAGGACAGTTTGAAACAATGTTTGAAGTGACTAATGTAGAGGTTGCCTTTATACTCAGAATTCTTATGAAGTCTTACTTAACAATTAAACTTTGCTTCTTAAAATGTGTGTTTCCTTGGGCTTGTTTATAAACCATGTGAACAGAATACATCATCTTGATTGCATTATTTCACACTGCTTTCATTTCCTACACATGTAAGTGGGCATATTTGTAGATTCTGATCAAGCGTCAGGCATTGGCCAGCAGAGTGCAGTGACCACACGGGTAGGCATGACTCTGCCAGGGTGGGCCTGCCTGGTGTCCTGCTGGCCATTCTTTTGTTCCAGTGTGCACCAGGTACTGCAGCTTCTGGAGACAAAGGAAAAAGGGAGGGTATGTTCAAACAAGTGAGAGTACACGTGTGCAAGAGTGTACATGTGTGAAGGAAGAAGGGAGGTACGTACATGTGTATGTACATGTGGACAGAAGCAGTGTATGGGTACTGGATTTAAGAATCTGCATTTAAGCTGTTCTCACTCAAAACTTGTGCATTATTCTGTATAAAACTTGTTGGGGGTTGGGAAGTTAGCATAGGAAGGCCCAGAGTTTGGTCCTCAGCTCTGCCAAAAAAAAACAAAGCCCCCAAATCCTAAAGCTTATAAAGGAAAAACCTTACAGGAGCTGGAGACTGGAGTGCCTGGTGTGCGGACTCCAGACCCGGCGGCTGCTTGCAAGGTGCGTGCAGCTTCGCCCACCCTTGCCCTCAGCAGGGAGACACTGGGCCAGACGCAGGTGGCTTTGCAGGTGACAGGTTCCTTAATGCTGCCCTCTCCACAGGACTCGGGTCCAGTCCTCACTGAGGTCTGGAAGTGGAAACGAGCCAGAGGTTCCGGTGTGCATGTCACCTGCGCGAGTCAAGGTATGGTGATGATGCCTCTCTCCCAGGTTGCTCTTTGGAACAGGAGAAGAAATTAATGTGTGTATGGGACTTGGGAAATGAGCTGCCTCCTGCTTTATCTTTCCATATGACTTGGATATAAAGGTGTTTTCTCTCCACAAGCAATGATGTTCATATTTGATTTTGATTAAGTGACACTGAGAAGCTTTAGCTTCACTGCAGCCCAGTGAGAAAGAAGCAAACTTGTTACTGCTGTGCAGCCCAAGCTGGGTGCCAAGTGGCTCCTCCTGCCTCTCCTTCCTGAGTGCTGGGATAGAGGAGTGTGCCGCCATTCCTGGACTGAGCGGCCATTTCAACTTCAACCTTATTTGCTCAGCAGTTTTTGAGCATTAGTTTCTGAGTATTAAGTGGGGGAGCTTAGCTGTGAGCATTATCTGGGTGATTACTGCTTGTTTTATGGTAAAATGAAATATTTTGTGTAAGAAAATAACAGCGTGAAAGGTGATGGCTTAGAAGCAAAGATGAGATAAAGACCTATGGGATTGCACAGAACGCTTTTATTACTCTAAGCAAATGAATTAAATTGCATTTCTCTTTGCAGCACCTCAGCTCGTGTACGTAGGGCAGCTCACTAGTTAAATACATGGTAGATGACAAAAAAGAACCCGTTTCCATTGTGAATCTGATATCCAAACTCCCTATTAGACCACAGGCTAGCAGTCCAAAAGATACTTGTAGTTCCCACTAACATTTCAGAAGATTTAGAACTTAACTAACCTGAAAGATCGGCAAATGATGACAAAATAGCATTTTAAGATGCATATTTCTTCTGCGTGAAATCTCTTAAGCGATTGCTACATGAGGCATTGGCTGAGCTGATAGTTGAATTAGAATTCCATGCATTCTCAGATGTTCAAGCGGAGCCAAAGGACTTCCCCACTCCGCAGAGAAGAAGCATGAAGTCTCCTTTACACAGGTACCTGTGCAAAATACACTCCTGGAGTTTGCTGTGGGTAGGATACTAATGAGAGTTAGTAGCCAAAGAGACAAGACTAGATGGTAACTGGGGTCTAGCGCAGCAGACCGGCTCAGCTGCATCCATGCGAAGGGCGGTGCTGCAGGAGGGGCATGCTTTCCGTCTCCCGGGCTGGTGCTGCCCACCGGTGCCTTTCCCAGAGATCCTCGGACTGACTTCCAAATTCACGTCAGAAACTGCCAGTTCAACAGTGAACGTTTGCCTTTCTGGATATTTTACAGGTTTATGTACAAAAAACATGAATATTTTTAAAGCTCAAATATTTGAACTATTTGAGGTGCCTACAAGCCGAGTGTAAACAGTTGTGATAAAATTTGTGAAGAATGAATACTCAATTGCGGGTACATTTTTATTCAAAGCCAGGTGTCCGTAGCAGTATAACCCTCTCTTTTGTAAGTCAGCCATCAGGTCTTTAATTAGAGTGAGGATATTTATTCCATGGAAATGGAATACTGTTAGAGTCTCGGTAGGCACGCTGGGTAAGTTGTAGTACAGAGCCAAGCAACAGCAAGTGTTTAGAGGGAGTGAAAACAAATACCTGGGAATTTTAGGGCTACTGAGCAACAAGCGATGTATGACTCACTAAATGTAAAACAAGAAAAAAAAAATCAAAAACTTGAGTCCCTTAAGCATGACTTCTGAGTGAAGATACCCGGCTCTTCCTTAGGCCATTCCTATTGCATCTGTAGATTGTCCTTTTGAAAAAATAAATCTGTACAGCCCTCTGTAAGTTACCAATTGCCCGAAGGGAGACATCCCCCCCAGCGTGTTCACTGTCCGCATCCCTGAGTCATGCAAAGGAGCATCCGCAGTGATGTGCACCCCCTTCCCAACACTTTCGGCTGCTTGCGTGAGCGTGGGTGTGCAGAGCAGTGCCAGGGCAGGTTGCGGTCCACAGAAGAGAACAGAGTGGATTTCCTGGTGTGCTGGAGTCTGGGCGCCTGGTGGTGGCTGTGCGCACCCTCGGGAAAGCGGGGTGGGGGGGGAGTGGGAGTGGCCGCTGAACGCCTCTCACCACCCAGGGAGAAGCTGCTGTGGGCAGGCAGGCAGGCACGGGCCTTAGGACCGGTAGTCCTTCTTGCTGTACGGCTTGTTGCGTAAAATGTTGTCAATCTCGGTGACCACGTGTGACGTCATCTTTGGGAGAACCTGGGAATGGGGAGAGGATGGAGGAGGGGTCTCTACTATGGTCATTGTGCTGCCTATGGCGTCCTTCTCTGAACCTTAAGCCCTGCAGGCCATATGCCTCTGCCCGACAATAGAGAAGCTCAGGGTGAAACCACAGCTCTCGTTGTAGAAGGACAGTGTGAGCCACATACATAGCCGATTTCACATTTTCTGCATTATATCCAGAGCATCTTTTTAGGTAAAATTTGTATAGGAAATTAGTTTTTTTGGTTTGGGTACTAAGTCCTGCAATTCCCATGAATGTTTTACTCCTACCTGCACATCTGGACATGTGCCCATAAAGTGCGGCCCCAGAGACTCGGTGTTGGGAAGCAGGCCTCCCAGGTGGCCTGACTCACAAGGACATGTGGTGGCCATGTGAGACAGAGCGGGCATGTGCAGCACCAGGTACTGGACACTTCATTCTTTACCAAGGGGCCCTGTGGAGACTGAGGGGGGAGCATGTGATGTAGGTCGGGGAGGGGACGTGTCAGATGACGCCCACATGATCTGCGCCCTGCCAAGGCCCGTGACTGGTGTGGACAGAGAGTGGCTGAGCTGGAGAGAGGCCCGGGCAGTCTCAGGGCTGGGTAGAAGGAACATGGTGTGGATGGCTGATCTGGAAAGGAAAGGAGGAGTTTGGGGAGCAAGTGGAGTGAGATGGCGGCTTGTTGGCATGGGGTGTCTGGAGAAATGACTCATTGGCAGTGTGGGCTTCGGACATGGGGGCTGGTGGTGTGGACCTGGTTGTGGAGGCTCTGAAGGGGCTGGCCAGCCCCTCATCCATGACTAGCGAGCGATGTGAGCCCGCATTTGGCTTGAGGAACAAAGGCAGACAGCGGAGCCCTTTGACCCGGTGCAGGCTGGTGAGGGGAGGTCTGATTGGGCTGGCCTCACCCTTCCTGGGCTGCCACCCAGCCGGCCAAGGTGACTTTGCCCCCACATGAAAGCTCAGAAGCCCTAGGGAGTGGCTGCTCAGCCCAGGAGGCTCTGGTTCTGCCTAACATTGGGCTACCTTTAACAAAGGCGGTGGCTCCCGCCAGCTCTGATGTCTAGACATCTGTGGTGTTGGGAAAGAGATTGCCATATTGAGGCTGAGCTTCAGGAATGGGGTTGCTTGGAAATTTTGTCTGAAGTGCAGTGGGCTAGCTACATGAGGAGAAAACAGTCCTCATGACACCAAAATACAGTTCAGAGAGATGTGAATGTTCAAACATACTCAGGCTGGCACCGTGGCTTAGATACATCATCAGTCCTAGCCATTGGGGGGCTGAGATCTGAGGATGCCCAGGGTCAGGGGCCTGGCTGCTGTTGCTGGGGTGACCTGTCAGGGAAGGCCTCGCAGGGAGAAGCTGGAGATCTGAATCTAGGGGACGAATTGGGTGTTGGTGCGCTGTGGCTATGGTGGTCAGAGAATGGAACACTTGACCTCTGGGGTGTGAATGGTTTGTGGTGGCTACAGATGAGGGTTCTAGGTGACAGTGTGTGTGTGTGTGTGTGTGTGTGTGTCTTTGGGATAAAAGCTTATGGAAATGGGTTTCCTGTGTGCTGTGCTGTCGGCATTGTGGGGTACATGGAAGGCCCAGTGAGTTAATGGGGAAGATCTCTTGGTTCATTCTTTCTCTCCGTGGTGTGCCTCCTTACTCCTCGCAGGACTCTCCTGCCTCAACCTGGCTGGGCATTCTGTGTTCTGCCAGTACAGATAGCTTGGAATGGCTGCCTTGGGTTTCAGTTCCTTCAACTATGCCCCTGTCCCCATGTTGTGGGGACATAATGAGGCTGGGGAGAAGGTTGGCTCCTGGAGAGTATATCCCATGTGGGCACAGGGACACAGAACCCCAGAGGAAGCGCAGGGCTGGGTGGAGCGAGTCAGCCGGCAGTCTCCCTGTTCACCCCCAGCATCTCCTGGGCTGCTTTTCAAGTGTTAGACACTAAGTTTAACCAGGTTGTCCTGCAGCTCTGTCTGTCATCCGTAGGCTTGTTTGGGGGACAGGTGGGTAGGGGAGACAGTTCTGCTCCCCGGTGAACAGGGGGAATACACCCTGTGAGGGCGGGAGCAGCGGGCAGGCTCAGTCACAGCAGCTCCAGCCCCACCCCGGGAGCACCCTCCTCACACCCTTCCCTCCTGCCTCAGCAGACTATATGGTGCTGTGTGGCCTCCTGCCCACAGGCGTCATGCTCAGTGGGGAGCCCCAGGGGTGGGTGTCTGAAGTCATAACTAAGGTTCATCTCTCACTCTAGGAGTTGGGAAGGTGAGAAAGACACCCATCTCCCACCTTTGGGGCTCATAGTTGAGGGGAGAGGGAGGGACAGCAGGTGCAGCCTATTTGTTATGTGGCGGGCCATGGGGAGAATGTCACAGGAGGCTGGCAGACGAGCAAGGGGGCTCGGTGCCAGCAGGTTAGCATGAGCGTGAAGGAGGCAATGCGTGATGCGTGTGCTCTGTCTTGTGTGGCACATTTCACACTGGTGCATCAGCATGCTATGAGTAGGCCTAGGGGTCACTTCCTGTACAACCCAGACCCAGGAGGAAGCGCCAGGGCCAGGGATCACTTTTGTCAGTCTGCAGTAGACAGCCCTACCTGGAGGCTTGGGCTTTGATGACATTGTTGCTTCCCACTCCTCCCCACTAGGACGCTCGCTGCCCAGGACCTTCCAGGGCACCGTGCTCTTCCCTGGACTTTGCTGCGAGGGGCCAGGGTACTTGCCTGGATGGCACCGAGGTTTTCGATGAGTTGCTCAGGAGTGGACGACCCCAGGAGCACGGAACTCACACCCTCATTTCGCAGACACCATGCTGTGAAGAGGGAAGCACGCTGGTCAGGAGCCATGGACAAGGTCAGGGGGCCCCGGACAGGGGCATGGAGTCATGGACAAGGTCAGGGAGCCAAGACATGGTCAGGGAACCACGGACATGGTAAGGGAGCCACAGACAAGGTCAGGGAGCCACGGACAAGGTCAAGGAGCCACGGACATGGTCAGGGAGCCACAGACAAGGTCAGGGAGCCACAGACAAGGTCAGGGAGCCATGGACAGGATCAGGGAGCCACAGACAGGGTCAGGGACCCATGGACACGGTAAGGGACCCACAGACAAGGTTAGGGAGCCACAGACAAGATCAAGGAGCCACGGACAGGGACAGGGAGCCACGGACAAGGTCAGGGAGCCATGGACAAGGTCAGGGAGCCACGGACATGGTCAGGGAGCCACGGACAAGATCAGGGACCCACAGACAAGGTCAGGGAGCCACAGACAAGATCAAGGAGCCACGGACAGGGACAGGGAGCCACAGACAAGGTCAGGGAGCCACAGACAAGGTCAGGGAGCCACGGACAGGGTCAGGGAGCCACGGACAAGATCAGGGAGCCACAGATAAGGTCAGGGAGCCATGGACAGGGTCAGGGAGCCACGGACAGGGTCAGGGACCCATGGACATGGTCAAGGAACCACGGACACAGAGCCACGGACACCGGTCAGGGAGCCATGGACATGGTCAGGGAGCCACGGACACCAGTCAGGACCCATGGACAGGGTCAGGGAGCCACGGATACTGGTCAGGAGCCATGGACACAGGGAGCCACAGACTCAGTCAGGGTGCCAGGTACTTTGTTATTGAGTGTGTCCACAGTGTCTACAGCTCTTGGCTGCAGCTAAACCTCAGGACCTTATTTTGTGTAGAGGACACAGTAATCTCAAGGTTTTAAAAGCTGAGCAGCAGCTGGGCACTCCTGGCTCACCCGTTACCCCATTCACTTGGGAGGCTAAGAATTGGGTGTATATAGTTCAAGGCCAGTCTGGACCTAAAAGTTCTCAACCCATAGTTGGGCACTGTGTCACACACCTATCCTCCTAGCCAACGTGGGAAGCTGATCAGAGGCCTGAGTTCTAAGGCCAGCCCAGGCAGAAAACACCGCCATCTTGTCTTAAGAGGAAGGAAGGAAGGAAGCCTGCTCAGATGACAGGTCAGGCACAAGTGAGCCCCCTTGCCTTCAAGAGACCCAGTGAAAAGCAGGGCCGGTGGCCTGGCTCAGAAGCATCATGACAGCCTTGCAAGCTGGAGTCCCTGAGCTCACATCTCCTCAGTGGGTAGAAACCTGGCCAGAAGGAAACAGTGCCATTGTGCAGTTGGCCTCCAGTGCTGCAGGAGTCTTGTGTGTTTTGATGTTGTGTTATAAGGGAGTGGGGAAGGAGAGTAAAAATGTTTCCATAGATGGAACATTCTGGGCAATCTTAAATAACGTATTTACCAGAAACTTGCACTTGTGACATCAGTCTGATAGCCGACATTTTCCCACGACAGGTGTGTGGACTGACAATGGGCAGCTGCATTTCCTCCGACCTCAGCAGAAGTACTCCCGCCCTCCATAATGAGTGTTCTTACCCACAGCTAGCTGAGGTAGCGTGCACCCCAGACGCTCCGCAATGGGAGAAAGGTCTTTGAGCTTGTTTTGCTGCTTCCGCCCTTCCTCGCTGACGATTCTCTCCTTCAACCACTGGTAGCACTACGGATAGGAACAGACACTGACTGTTAATGTCCGGTGAGGGGTGGGAGGTCAAGATGGTGAATTTCCAAATCTTCTCCACACTTCCCTTGGTTCTGTGGGGATGGGATGCTTGTCTTGGTCCAAGACTGTGTGAGCAATCTTGCTCTTTGCTTAGGGCTCAAAACAGACTGATTTTGACTTATATTCACTATTCACATTGGTACATGGGCACAAGTATCCTCAGATCCCCAAGGCTGGCGTGTGAGACCCTCCTCTACCCAGGGGCGGAGACAATGAGAGAGACACTTCTCTCTGGATAGCCCAGTTTTAGCAAATAGATACAGATAAATAGCACGAAGATTCTGCATTTTGACAAGATCTATTATGTTTCCTTCCTTTTTGTTAAGAAGGCCCAGTACCAAGTGTTCGGCTCAATGAAACCCATTGTCTCCCATTCTCAAGTATCTCTTGTCTTCCATCGGCATGACTCTGTATTCCTCACATTGACTCTGCTCCTTTGGCTTCTCCCGAAGAGCAGACGGTGCAGGTGCAGCTTGGTACCGGTACAGATTCCAAGCACATTTCTTAAGTTAGATAAACATTCTCCTGAGTGTGTATTGCCTATTGTTTAGCTCCTGGAACTTATCAAGTAAAAAGCTCGGGACAGGAAATATTCCTTGAAACCTCTGGGAAGAGACTGGCCCTGATCTGTGGACTCCAAAGTAAGCCAGGTTTCAGAGATGGAAATAAAAAAAAATGTCTTCACAGTGCCCTACTTCCCAGATGACCTGCTCTTACTAAGGAACACGTACAGAGCTAGCCTGGGAGAATAAGATGTTAGCCTGTTTCTGTGAGGATAATAAGCCAAATGTGCCACTCCCTGGCCCCTGGGACTTCCTCTGGTGACGGCTTCCCCATGGATTGTCCCAAACTAAGGAAAGCTCTGAAGTCTGCAGTCTGCCCAGGCACAGGCCACAGTTCAACATGCTACTGGCTTTTGTTTCTTACATATTATTTTCATCTCCTAAGAGAGAATTTCCAAAGGAAAGCATGACTGCATTCTGTGTACTTGTGAGGACTTTTGCAGATGTGAAAGGAGAAGGGCGAGGCGCCCCGGCTCTCTCAGCCTCCTGGAGCTCACTCATGGGCTTGCGGTCCGCTCCCTGTGAGAGACTGTGCTGGGGGAGACGGCTACACCAGGGCCACCCGGCTGGGCGTACGCTGTGGAGGGAGCAGAGCCTGGGCCAGTGGGGACTGGGTGGACAATTAGGAACATTCCTGCTAGCCTTCAGGGACCAGGCATTGACCTAGGCAGTGCCCGGAAGTGATTCTGGCCTTTTTGGGAAAAAACAGCATCATCTCTGCTCGAGTTTTGTAACCTCTAACAGGGGTCCAAGATCTCTGAATGTGATCCACACTGAGAGGAAGAGGAGGAAACTGACAATTGCTCTTGACAACTGCTTTGTAGCTAGGAGAGATCCTGAGGTTTCGGTGTGTACCCTGAACGCAGAAAAATGTCTTGTTTATATATCAATCTTGTTGAATGCCTTTGTTTTAAAATCCTATAGGTAACTCATTCTTAGGATTGGGTTACAAGGTGTGTGTGTGTGTGTGTGTGTGTGTGTGTGTGTGTGAGATGCACACTAAAGTAACAGACCTCAAATACTCATTTACTGAATCCTTCTCTCTTGAAACCCTCAAACCTTTAGCTGTCACCTTTTTGTTTGCTGTATTTACTAAGTAGTGCTGGAATTTGAACTCAGGGCCTAATACTTGCCAGGCAGGCATTCTACCACTTGATTCATGTTTCTAACATGTTTTGATGTTTTTGCAGTTAGGTTCACTAATCTCTGCAGTCCTTATAACGCCGTTAACATCTCAGGCCAAGCCTCTGATCTCTGCTTCCTTCTCAATTATTCTCAGTACATGTGCTCTGGTGGCTGTGTGCATTCTTCCATCTGAATACACGCAACTGATGACTGCAGATGGTGGAGCTCTAGAGCAACTCTGGGCAGCCGATGGGCGCTTGTGGAGACTCCCAGAGCTGAGGAGTGGCTTGCACACCGGCAGCCATAGCTCTGGGGTTTGGCCGTCTTCGAGAGTTCCATGTGTGTTCACGAGGAAAGCTCCAGGCATCTGCCAGCATCCTCCCAGCAGTGAAGCAGCTCGACGCACTTGCCTGAGTACAGTGTCACTGCACCAAAGCCTGGATGTGAAGAGAGACTAAGACATCCTGGGAGTGATTACTAGAGCCAGGAGAGGCAGGTGCCACACCAGCCTGTCTGTGAGGAGTTTCTGGTCTGGAATTGACAATGCTGATGTCTGCTTCAGTTTCTGCCTGTGGCAAAGGCCTTCTTCCCTCAGGTCAGATTAAACTAAGAACAACACCCCACACAGTTGGAAGTACTTGGAGTTTTTTCAGAAAGCCTATAACGATATACAGATGGTCCCCACTTACAATGGTTCCCATAGGATTTGTGTGTGTGCACGTACACGTGTGTGTGTGTGTGTGTGTGTGTGTGTGTGTGTGTGTGTGTGTCTGTTTGTTTGTCTGTCTGTATTAAGGCTTGAACTCAAGAGTCTGAGCTTTTGTTGGGCTTTTTCTGCTTAGAACTGGTGCTAGACTGTGTGAGCCACAGCTCCACTTCTGGCTTTTTTGCTGGTTAGTTGGAGATAAGGATCTCATGGATTTTTCTTGACTGGGCTCGCTTCAAACCGTGATCTTTGTATTTCAGCCTCCTGAGTAGCTAGGATTACAGATGTGAGCCACAGTGTCTGGATGATAGATGATTTTTTTTCCATACAGTTTTGTGTTTTCCATTTTCACCCCAGTAGTTGATAGACAAATAACCAACAGTAGGCAAATGCACAATTTTCAGTGTATTTAAGATAGGCTAGGGCATGCTATCACACTCAGTAGGTGAGATATATTAACTACATTTTCTATTTGGATGTTCTAACTTACTGTGGGTTGGTTTGAGCCAGACCCTGTTGTGAGCTGAGAAGCATGTGCAGCAGCTTAGCTACAGCCGCCGTCTGTAGGCGTTTCTCTTTGTGGGGAAACAGGGAAATAAAGGAAAACTCTTAGCCTGGTGCTCGGCACTGCTTAGTGGTAGTAGATGTTTAGTGAAACCACAATTCGCCATGCATCCCTGTCTTCTTGCTTTCCTCTTTTATATGCATCCTAAGACACTATTACTTTTTCTTGGCTGACTCATTTAGATTTGTTCAGAACAGTCTTTAATTTTCAGGAACAAGATCTTCATAATCTGGGGTAAGTGTCCTTTCCAATTGTCCAGAACCAGGAACAGGGTCGGGTCAGCGTGCTTCGGGGGGTATTTATATTGCATTATTTTAGAGAACAAACAAGCTAAAAGTTCAGGTCTCCCCAGTGGAAGGAAAGAGAATGATGCAGAGTCTGGGCGGGCTGTGATGGGGACAGACAGGGGACAGGCGGAGGTGTTCCCAGCTGTACTGCCGGCAGGGCCAGCTGGTTTGGCTCTTCTGCTGAGCACTCATGGACTGGGAGCTGGCTCAGCATCTGTTTCCTCTTAGGAAGACTTTGTCTGGTCTGAAGTTTTAAGATGCCTGTATTCTCTCTCCCTGTACATTTGCAGAGTAATTTGTGATTCTATTGTTATTATACACTCTCTCCAGCTTTTTGGTTATTCTGTTTGTTTTAAAACAGACATGTTCTTACGCATAAGAAAAAAAAATGTTTGGAGTACTCTGTAATAAGTGAATCAAGATGTCCTGAGTGGAGGAAATTTTGTTCCGATGAGCTTGGAAAGTGTGAGGGTTCAGAATCCTCAAGAGGATCAGAGGATTCAGAATTTATGTCCCAAGACTCAACCAAAGCCAATGACAGAGCCAATGGCAGGTGTCCATGCGCGGGCCTCCCATCTCCACCCCTCTCCCTCCCACCACAGTGGAGGTATCAGTCAACCCCAGCCAAGTTGGGCTGCCGTACTGGCTCAGGTTTTGCAATGAAATCCACTTATATGGGAAAGGATCAAGCAAGGAAGCAATCGCTTCAAAATTAGGATACGTAGCACCTCAGGGGTCTGGGCTGGGCAGACCTATCCAGTGCACCAAGCACACCACCACCTCCCCAGGAGCAGGGAGGGGGTGGAGGGAGGCAGCGGGAGGGTGGTGTTCTGCTCAAGCCCATTGGACAGGGCTGGCAGTGGCCTGACAGGGAGCAAAGCCCCTCAGAGGGCCTCGGGCCACAATTACCAGCAGCCAAGATCATAGTGTGCCTGGCGCAGGAGGTCCAGGCTGTGCCACACCACGAATCAGTCTCCTCCCCCCTCTAGACCCCGAGTATTTTCTAGAAGTGGGGGGGGGGGGAATACCTTCAGTGAAGCCCTGGAACTTTCAGGCACCCCGTTCCCGTACTTTCCAGAGATGATTCCACAGGCTAGAGGAGACCAGGTCACTGCCCCAACCCCTGCGAGGAGGGAACAAAACACAACACAATGAAAATGCTGCTCAGCCAGGGAGCATTCAGAGTGCAGAGGTGTTGGGTTAGAACTCGGCGAGTGACAGGGGAAAGCTGGCTGGTCCCTGGGCGAGCGACACAGCTAGCTGGTACATTCTAGGAGTCCTTCCTGAGCCAGTTACACCTGCGATGGTCAGTTCTTAGGACTGAGCTGGGGAAACGAGCATGGGAATGTCGCGCAGCCATGATGGTTTTTATTTTCTATTTTGTTCTATTTTATTTTTATAGTACTGGGGTTTGTATTTAGGGCCTCCTGCTAACCAGGCTGATGTTCTACCATTTGAACCACACTTCCAGACTTGCTTTTTGCTGGTTATTTTGGAGATGGAGTCTAAGAACTTTTCTGCCTGGGCTGGCTATAAACTGCTATCGTCTGGATCTCAGTCTCCTGAGTAGCTGGGATTACAAGAGCAAGACACAGTGCCCATCTAGCCCTGCTCTTGGAATGTGTGCACTCCCTAGACCCAGAGAGAAACACTTCCTCTGGCAAAATAACTCAGTGCTTCCCGAGCAGCACTGGCAGATGGAGGAAGGCCATGCCTTATAAAAAACTCAGTGTGTGATAGAAGTCATTCATGGTCATCCCTGTTGTCTTGGTGTTGGTATCTGTTCTGGTTTTATCCAGCGTCTCCCTGCTGTGTTTTCAGAAGGAAGTTATCCTGGAAGCTGCTTTGGGATAAGTGTATGTCCATGGCTGTGGGGGGAGGCTTTACAAGGCCCACGGAAAGATGCTTGCACCTGTGAGCACGGGCTGATCACTGGGCGCCCCCTTTCACTACACAGGCAGTTTTGGAACACAAGACATGACCCTTGTATCAGTTAGGGACCGTGAAGAAGTATGTTCCTGGTGCTCCCGTAGTTAGGACGCATCAGGAGGCATGATCAGAGGATTACCTATTTTGTGGTAGAGCTCTGGCAGCTGCACCTCCACCTTTTCTCTCTGGAAGAGGTGGTACTCTGCTTGTTCGCAGACGGGCGGGATCATGTTGAACTGCCTGGCCACCGAGTAGGCTTCCTAGGGAGAGATGAGACCCCGGGGTGGGGTGGGAGGTTGGTACGGGTGAGCACAGTAGGCCTGTTCACTCTTTCACATGCAAGATGGCGGTCAGTAAAGAGACTAGAGCTCACAGCACGCAGGGAGCCGGGTAACAAGTGAGGCCTGGGCCATTTGACTCCTCCCCTCATGGGGAAGTCTTTGTTCTGGGTCAAGGCTTGGATTGAGTCAGGCCAGGGAAAATTTGTCCACATGTGAACAGTCAGTTATTAGAAGGAAAATGTGATTTGATTATTATTTTTTTGTTCCTAAAGAAATAAAACTTACACTAGCATATACAAGTGGTTGGTATTTAAATGGGTTCTAAACAGAAGGGTTATTCAGTAATACAGTTGTTACAAGAAAACTGGAATACTCTGCCTCTCTGTCTACTAGCTGTAAACTGTCACCCTGCCACCAAAGAACATGCAGTCAGTCACAGCTCTGCCTGATGTATCCTGAGCTGCGCTCTCTCTCTCTCTCTTATCTATATCTTTCTCATGCAGGTACCAGGGCCTGGATCCAGGGTCTCAAGTTCTTGCTTAGGTTTTTTAATTCAAAGCTGGTACTCTACCACTTCAACCACAGCTCCATGTCTAGCTTTTTGCTGGTCAGTCTGAGAGAAGAGTCTTGGATCCATCTGCCTGAGCTGACTTTGAACCATGATTCTCAGATCTCAGCCTCCCAAGTAGCTTGGATGACAGGACTGAGACACTGACACCTGACCAGCCATCTCTTTAATGACAGAATTGATTCTAGAATTTCAGTTCTGTAGTGACTGGGAGAAGGGTTTTCAGAAGCTCTAGAAATGTGCCTCTGGGGCTCACTGGGCAGCTTGTAGGAGAGGCTATGAAGGAGCCACGGCCAGGAAGGGGCGAACGTACCATGATCTCCATTGCACTCCACCGCGAGGTGCCCCAGTACATGGCCATGCCTTGGTTGATCACGTGTGTCATGGCTCGAACAATTTCTGTGAAGAGTCAAACAGCATCGTCCCCTGATGCTCAGGGCCGGCCCCCTCTCCCGGTGCTTACCAATTTAAAGCAGTGATGCATGTGATTTGTAAAATTAATTGGTAGCAATGTTCGTAGTCTAACTGGCAGCTTTGATTCTCAGAGGCCACAGTACTTCCAGGTGAACCGACACTCCATTTATTTATTTGTTTATTTGTGCCAGTACTGGGTCTTGGACTCAGAGCCTTCCCACTCTGGCTTAGCATTTTTTGCTCAACGCTGGTACATCACTGCTTGAGCCTTGCCTCCATTTCTGACTTTTGGTATTAATTGGGGATAAGAGTCTTTTAGATTTGTCAGCCTAAGGCTGGCTTTGAACTACAATCCTCAGATTTCAGCCTCTTGAGTTGTTAGGACTACAGGCGTGAGCCACCAGTGCCTGGCTGATGCTCCAGCTTTTGCATGTAGTAGCAATACTCAATGGTATTAAAAGCATAGTAACTTTTAAGTTTTTTGAAGAGTTAATTTACTTTATTTCCCACATAGTTTTAAAGCGGCATCAAGTAGGGAGAAGGCATTTCGTTGGGCATGTTCTCACTCAGCTATTTTTTATCAGCAGAGGGTCTGCAGGGGTTTCACGGTGGCATTTACACATGCTTGCATTGTACTGGGGTCAGATTAACCTCCCCTGTCTCCCCTGCGCCCATTTATTTTCCTGGGTGCTTACAGTTAAGTTTGTTCTTGCCTTGGTTGAGGAGGAATCTCTTTCAACACAGAAGGGAGGGACAGCATTTGTTTTGACCTGGAAGGACACAGGGTCACAGGGAGGGAGGCCTGGCTTTCTTTGCACGTGGGCTGTGCAGATGCCAGCCTCATACTGGGTACTTGTTTAACAGAGATAGACTCAATAACAATGTGGTTAGCAGGAAGATAAACGCATTACATGCTGAAAAACAGCTGAGACCACAGCTTTCGCAGCTCCCAGGACGACACACACGCTGTCCCTCAGTTCTCAGAACCAGACTTCATTGTGAGACAGCCCAGTAAACTGACCTCAGCGGGCCCAGCCTTGTGCTCCAGCCTCGCAGCCCGGTGCAGCATTTCCTAATCAGGAAGCTGCCCCGCCCCAGGGGTGGAGCCAGAGCCAGGCCCCACCCAGGCCTAGCTCCGCCCCCACCACCTGGCATACAGACCTACCCAGCTTTCACAGTTACAGTTCACTCCAGGGAAAGTCACAGACAGGACTGGACTTCTTGTCTTTTAAGATGATCTTTAAGTGGTTGTACAGAGAGGTTTGAAGGTGACACATCATTTTGGGAGTACAGTGCACCTTGATCAGTGCCACCCTTCCTGTCATTCTCCCCACATCTAGCAACTCCACCCAGCCCCTCCCTGGAGGGAACCTGGTCCCACGTTCACATGAACCTCTCACATTGACTATTAACGACTGCATTCCTCCGTCCTTCACTCCATTCATCTACCCCCTTCCCGGGGGTCCCCTCTCCCACCAGCACGTTGTTAGACCGCAGGTTTGTTGTTCAGAGAAATCCTCTCCTGAACGTAGCAGGCTTTGGTCAGTACATTTGTACTGTGACCCTGCGTGTGTTTACACTCCTGTTTATAAAACTTGATCTGACTGCCACCGAGGAGAAAATATGTGTCCTTAAAGGCAGTGCTAAGAAGAAAGCTTATAGCCACAAGCAGCGTCTCCATCAACAAATTAGAGAAATTGCAAATCAATACTCTGATGCTGCACCTCAAGCTCGAAGGAAAACAAAAGAAAACCACCAAACCAGTAGACAGAAAGAAATAATAAGGATTAGATCGGAAATAAAAAAAAACAAACAAACAATGGAGACTCAAGGAACTATACAAAGAATTAACAAAGCAAAAAGTTGGTTCTTTGAAAAGATAAACCAAATTGATAAGCCCTTAGCAAATCTGACCCGAGGGCTGGATTTCTTCCACAAGACATGGCAGCCAGACTTCCAGAGTACTGGGTGATCGCCGCATACTTTCGGGGGTCACAGGCCTTGGGCTCCACTGTGGGTTGCTTGTCTCCGGTAGTGTTGGGCTAGATGTATTCAGACTCTTGCCTGTCATGAGCACACGCTGTCAGTATAGACAGAGGGTTTGGGAACGGCAGGCCTGAACCAGGTCTTCACTGTATGGTCCTTTGTGTGAGCAACTTCAAACTTCCCTGGGTTTGGAAATACTTCATTCACTATTGTCTGTCCAGCAGAGGTGGAATTTGGTTTCTAAGCACAGTATTTTTCTGTCTTGGAGAATAACTTGCAAATATGAAACCACAGCAGACAAACTATGTAGATCATTTTCACTCCATTAAAAGTACGGGAGGATGCTGGGCATAGGTAGCTCACACCTGTCATCCCAGCTACTCAGGAGGCTGAGATCAAAGAGGCTGAGCGCTGTCCTCAAGCTTTTCATTCAATGCCTGTGGGTGTTCTACCACTTGAGCCAGCTCTACTTCTGGCTTTTTGGTGCTTAATTGTAGCTAAGAATCTCATGGACTTTCTCACCTGGGCTGGCTTTGAACTGTGATCCTCAGATCGCAGCCCCCTGAGTAGCTGGAATGACAAGTGTGAGCTACCAGCTTCTCTGTCTGGTGAGGATGGGAGGTGGGGAAGGTACGCCGTGGAGTTTTGTTCTTAGAGCTGGCTGCACATGCAGCCATGAGAGAGGCTGAAGCTGGATATTTATGTGGACTCAAATGTTGATTTAGTTCTTATTAAATTAGCCAATTATTAATTTTTTAATGTCAGAAAAATCAGTTGCTTAGCTAGCTAACAGCAACCAACCACCAGTGTCTTAACCAGCTGTAATGTGTGTGGACACCGGAGGGCGCCATTGTCAAAAGAAAAAAGTCCACAGAGAGAGAGAGAGAGAGAGAGAGAGAGAGAGAGAGAGAGAGAGAGAGAGAGAATTCAGTTTTATCATCTCCCAGGCAGAGCATGGATTCTGAGTTAGAAAGATTATTGAGTACTACACAGATCTCTGAGCACCCCGACAAAGGTTAAATCTGCACCCCAGAACTTACCCTAACTTCCCTGTCCATGTATTTTCAAATACAGAAATCAGCTTGCTATGCCTGCTTATTTGGTAGAATCAGTGCATCCTCATTTCAGAGTAGCTAAATGAAATCATTATTATATGTCAGAATCCTGACAGAGGGTGATTTCTATAAAATGTCTGAGCAGCTCACAGAAAGATAGGGTGATGGAGTTTCTGATTCTCCTCCTTAATTAGAACCTTCTGGAAAGGTCTAACAATAAAAGATGACACCTTCAAGAATGAGGAGGGTTGTGTTTGTTGGTGCTAGTAGTAGAGCTTGAAATCAGGTCTTGGGTGCTGTCCCTGAGTTTTTGTCACTGAAGCTTGACACTCTACCACTTGAGCCACACCCCCATTTCCTGCTTTTTGGAGATAAGAATCTCATAGACTTTCCTATGTGTGATCCCAGCTTCCTGAGTAGCTGAGATTACAGGCGTGAGTTTGGGATGACAGTTTTCCTTAGTGAGCGCTAATGATGCCACTCACTTGTAAATGTGTCAATTAGAGATTTTACTCACCCTTTCTTATATTTCAGTGGTGCGCCTGTTCTTTTGACTGTTCTATTGGGCTCACATTGCACGTTAATAATGTCTGTACTGACTGATGAATTCAGCCTCTGGGCATGTTGGAAGGAAATGTATTAGGCCAAATGCCCACCAAAGACAAGTTTCCCAGATGCTCACTGAGCTGCTCAGCACAGCACAGCCAGGCCCGGGCAGCTCAGTGCCTGCTACTGCTGGAAGTTATTTCTGTAGTTCGTGGTGTCTGTCCTTGTACTACTATAGATGTCTGACTCAAGCCCTACATTATGTTCTAAGCTCCTCTGTTTGGTGGTTGTCATCTCATTGGTCAGACAGATGTGGAATATCCTGACACACAGCTTCCTATTCTAGCCTCTCATCTTCAGATTGTTATTTATATAACTGGGCATCAGCTTCTTAGAACAGACTTTTAAGTTAATTTGAAAAGGAATGTGAGCTTGTGGATGGAAGAATTCATAAGCCATTTGGCTGAGATTGAACTGAGTTAAAAAAAAAAAAAAAGATATGGACCCTCTTGGGATTTCCTACTGGCAAATCCAGCTTGTGCCTTAAGAGGAAGCATCTGCATTACTTCTTTACTCCTGCTGGGCTGGCCTTGGTCCCTGGGCAGTGTTGGGGAAGAGACGGCTCTTTGATGTCAGGATACTGAGCCTGCCTTCCACCTTCCATCCTTCCATCCATGTAGCTCCCTGCCTGGCTCAGGCATCTGATCATGAACCAAAAGGTGATGTTGGAATCTGAAGAGGTAAGCTGCTAGGCCAATAGCGTTTGACAGCAAAGCTGTACTGTGGTGTGCTTTGGAGCAGAGACACCCCTTCATGACTGGCTGGCTTGTTGCTATGGTTTGGCTGTGAAGTCTTCTCCTGGAAGATGCAGATGCTGAAGGCTTGGTCCCTAGTGTACCCCGTCTTTAGTGCCTAAGTCTTCCTCTGCCTTCATTCATGGATGTGTCTGCTGATGAGTGGAGACTTTCTAGACTTGTGAGCTGGTGGAGCCCTGGAGTTGGGGTCTAGGTGAGGCGGGTGGGCATGATTTTGAAGGGTGGATCTAGGCTCTTTGAAGGGTGGATCTAGGCTCTTTGAAGGGTGGATCTAGGCTCTGGTTCTTTCCGGTTACTTCTCTCTGCTTCCTGACCACCATGAGAGAGTCAGGTGTGCTCACCACAGAGTGAAAGTTTTGAAACTGAGCTGAAATACATCTTTCCCATTCCGGAATGCTTCTCTCAGGCCTTCTGGCAGACTCGGTGGTGAAAGGTTGTCTGCCACTCCTGTCCCTCTCCCTGTTCTGGTCTGGTCCTCATGCCAATTTCTCCATTCCTTCTCCATTCCTCTCACTGGGGACTTCCCTTTCGTTTCTGAGCTTTCTCCAGCCAGCGCCCAGAGATGGCCATTTCTCCTAACTTT